AAATATGGAAAAAATTTCAGAATTTTTTTTTAGTAAAATTTTATCCCGTGATTTTTTGGTTTTTTATATTGCTCTTTAATAAAAAAGTGGGCTTTATAATGTATGGGAAACTATTTTTATCATTATTGCTTTCGTATTATTACTATTTTTTGAATTAACGTCTACTTCACTAACTTTCTTCAAATAATCCAGATGAATTAAATCATAATATTTTTCAAAAATTACATTTCATTATCATCATTACCATCTTTGTTGCATTCCCTGACATTCAATAACTGTTTTTATAATTGAGAGAACCAAAATTTGCTTCTTTTCTTTTGTTAAAGAAAAGCCTATATTGTTCTGTTATAATAGTATCGGAGAATTTCTTATAAATTTTCTAGGTGATGACCTTAACAAAAAGAAAGTAGTAAAAATAGAAGATACCAATAGAGATATAAAATTATAAAAGTACAGCTGATTTTTACGATGATAATGCACATCGCGTTTGACCGATTTTTGATTATATAATTTTTTAATGTTGATAATATACATCGCTTTTGATTATATAATTTTATTTTTATATGACTATTTTGATTATATAATTTTTTGTTTTTTTTTTGAGAAAATAAATAAGTAAAATAAAAATACAAAATAAGACTAATAGACAATGTATATATGTATTGTATAATAATAATTTTTGTTTTCCATTTTTTTGTGTAAAAACAAAATTAGCATTATGGCGTATCACTTTGTGTTTACATGCGGTCTCTTGTGAAACTTTTTTGACAGACATATTTTTCATATCTTTTTTATTAACCAAAACAAGCAATTAGTTCGGTAAAACATCAGTCAAAAGATCTAAAATTAGATTTGGAAATGATCGACACATAATTTTATTATTGTTACAAAATTCAAATATTAAAATAAGCGTGCAACATTGTTTTTGTCTATAATTGAAGAATAGATTTCTTTTGGTCTAATCTTACTTAAGTAAAGATAATTAATTTACTGTATATATACGTATATCTTTTAGGATTTCTTTAAGCTTCTTTTATTCTTTTTAGTGTTTTTTTATTTTTTTTCATATTATTAAAACTGAATTATTTAAAACTTTTTAATATTCATGAACTAGTTAAACTTACAATAGTAGATTTGATCCTCATATTTATAATTAAATTATTATATAAACTTCAAAAAATTTACTACTTAAATATCTAGTCTAACTGCTATGATTATACATTAATAATATAATATTTTTTTTTAAATCATATATATATATTTTAATTAAATTAATTTACAAATTATTAATAAATTAAATATTCTTTATAATGAACTTATATGAAATTTATTATAATTTAGGTTATTAAAAAACTTTATAATATTTAATATTTAATATATTATTATTAGAAATTATTATATATTATTATATTTATAAAAAACTAGTATATGACAAATTTTAAAAAATAGAAAGGAGTTTAAGTTACAAATAAAAATTTATTTCAAATTATAAATTTATCCATATTCAATTAAAATATAAATACAATTTTATATTTTAAAACATTTTATTTAATATCTTTAAATCTTTTAATTTATCATTAGCTATTTCATAATTTTCAAATAAAAAATTATAAAAATTATTAATATTTTAATACTTTTTAATGTATTAGTCAAAGAAATATCAAAATTAATTCATTTTTTATCATCATTTTAATTTTTTGATTATACAGTTTTAACAATTTTATTAACTTTTAATAAAATTTTATTTTTTAGCATTAATATTAAAAATGAGTATTGCAATTAAAAAAATGATGCAATTGAGTGCAATTTAATTGAATTTGAAAATAATATGAGGATTGTCTTAATTAATATATTTATTACAATAAATTATCAAAATATAGTAGTTTTTTTATTAGCTTTATATTAATTATTTTTATCATTCTTTTAATTAAAATTGAAATTTATATTTATATTTCATTCATAATCTATATTTGATAAAATAAAATTAATTTTTAATCAAAAATTTTCAATATTAAAGATTTGATTGGATTTTATATTTCAATAACAAATTTAATAGTATTAAAAATTGTAATAAATATAATATATTAAGTAATTAAATAATAAATTTTAATATTATTAAAGATATATAATTTATTTAATTATTATATATTAAAGTATTATCAATTAATAATAAACTTTTTTATAATAAATATATATTAATTTATTTAAATTTTTAAATAATTAAGCTAAATAAATTTTACATCTAATATAGATTTATTTTTAAATTTATTTAGAATTGTAACATCATATTTAATAAAAAAAAATACTTTATTTTTTTGATTTCTTAATTTTAGATACAAACTTTAAGTAAGAATTTTTGATTATTTTTATTAAATTTTTAATAAAAATAATAATATTTATAATAAATATTATAATAATTATATAATTACTTATTTTATTATAATTGTAATACATATTTTTTAACAATTATTTATTTATATTTATTATTTATTTTTAATAGATTATTAGCAACTTTATTTGATTTATTATAAGAATAAACATTATTTTTTTTTAAAAAAATTTGTTAATTATTCTGTATAAATAGTAAATTCAATATTATTAAATCTATTTACAATAATATTATCATATAATATTTAATTTACAATTAGAGATTAATATATTCAGATATTAAGCATTTCTTTTATATATGCTAGTCTAATCTAATTTTCAATTAGAAATGGATAAATATTTTAATTTTCTTTTAAAATATTACTAAATTTTGTATTATACATACTAGTTAGTTTAATATTTACTATAAATAGATTATCATCTTTTTTTTTAGTAAAATTATATCAATATAATTAAAGATAAATATTTATTTTTAACAAAATATAATAGAATAATTTATTTTATGTTAAAGAAAATTTTTATTTAATAAACATTTATTAACTTACTATATTTAGTAAAAAATCAGAAAAAAATCAGTATCAGATTATTGTGAAAAAAATATATATAACTGATTTATTATTAGATTTTAATATATAACTTATTATTTAAGAAAATTCTTATTATTAATCTAAAATATGTAAAACTGTTACTTTTACTATAAACTAAGTATATAATATTTATTCACATATGTAATATAATTAATCAAAATCAGAATCAAATATAACATATTGAAATAATTAATTATTTATAATTTTTTTAATTTTTTTATGAATTTTTTATTATATATTAGTATTATATAAAATTGTATATAATAAATTAATTTGTTTGATAAATATATCATAAAATAAATTTTTTGTTATATAATAAAATAAATAAAAATTTTTTCTTTAATAATTAATCATATTAAATCATGTATTTTGATTGATATTAATCATTTAAAATTGAAATAAAGTTATTTGATAAAATAAAATATATAAGATCTAAGTTATTAAAAATCACTTTATAGAATAAGAAATTAATTTTAAATAAATGATGATTAAAAAAATATTACATTATAGTAAACATTTTTATTTAAAAATATTAAATCAAATTAATTAAAGATGATACTAAAATTTATTATTTATTTTATAATTTTTAAAAAATTTTGTTATCTTATAGAACATTATTAAATTAATTTTTATAATACTTAAAATTAATTTTATAACTCTTGAGATTCTTACTATTAAATCATTCTATAGAACATTGTTATATTAATTTTATTAGAAAAATAATTTTGAATTTAAATAAAATATTTTTATTACAAAAATCATCAAAAAAATTTTTTAATAAAAAAGAAAAATTCTAATTTTAATGTTTTTTTTTAAAACAAAAATATATAGAGTATTTTCAATAAAAAATTTTAATAAAGATATAAATATCTCTAAATCTCTTTCTATTAATTAAAGTTAAAAAATTTTGAATTTTAAATGATCTGAAACTTTTTTAACTTTTATGAATAATAATGTTAATCATTTTCAAATTTTGTGTTTGTTAATAAGATAATTGACTATAAAAATTTAACCAAACAAAGTTCATATAGGAAGTTTATAATATCAAAAACTAAAATGCAATAAAAATCAAAATTTTGTTAAAAAAATTCCTAGAGCCTGATTTTTTTAGCAAACCTCCCATATATTATATAATAATATGATATGAATCAAAAATCTTTATTTTTGATTGGAGGGGTCCTATAACCCAGTGATGTGCACTTGGAAGATTGAAAGCACCCTTGGAAGCTCTTTTGAAAGGGTTGGAAGCATAATTCTCTAATGAATTCATTTGGATTGGAAGCTTCCAATCAAATTTTATACATTGGAAGCATAAAATGCACATCACTGCTGTAACCTGATTTTAATAGCTTAGATCCCATATGTTAATGTAATAACAAAAAATTTTTTTTTTAATTGGTCAGTTTTTCTAGAACATAGATATACTATTGTTACCTAGTAATAATATATAATTGATTTAATATCAACGTTATTGTCCAATTCATAATGACGATTAACTATTTGACCGATCATGAGCATAAATTATTTAATTATTTCCTAATATAGACATATCCGAATCAATCATATCTTTTCGAAAGAGTTCATGCTCCTTTACTGTATTTTTGAACAGGTAAATTATTAATAATTATCTAATCAAGTTTTCTTGTTAAATTTAAACTTTTTTTTTTGGAGTGAAGATCATTATGTAATTCACTTAGTGATTATATTAATTATTTCATAATAAGTGAAATTAACAGATCAAATTATTGTACTACCTGTCATTTCCATTCACATTCATTGTTTCAAACATAAACAATTACTCTGTGGTTGGTAGAAAATTAATCGATAATTTCCTTAGTAAAAAAAAAAAAATATATAAATATGTATTTTTTAGGATTCTAAAAAAATTTTATTAAATCATCCCCACAAGATACTATTCTGTCTATTCTGTACACATTTTCGCGCATATTAATTCGATTAAAAAATTTAAAAAATTATATCTATATAAGACATGAATGTACAAACATAAACCTCAACATCTCAACCATGAATCCAACTCAAGTTCCAAACAACTTGCAAGATTTGGATTCTTTGCATTCTGTTAATAATGAGCAAAATAATTCTTACCATCCTCCAAACTTCAATACACAAACAGATCACAGTTTCATTCGTTATTATCACCTTAATAGTACTCCCTACATGCAACAGTATTTTAGAGATTCCTATACGCAAAATCAAAACGTTGAAGAAAAATTTGATGATTATTATCGACGTAATTGATTTTGTTGATCATTTTATGTTTAATTCGATAAATTTTTTACGAATCTATTTTATTAATTTTATCTTTAGGTGTTTTATTTGCGGAGGAACCAATCATTAATATGGAATTTTCTAATCAACGTAATTGATTTTGCTGATCATATGATTAAATTCATTGACACGATAAATTTTTTACGAATCTACTTTTTTTAACTTTATCTTTAGATGTTTTATTTACCGAGGAACCAAACATTAATACGGAATTTTCTAATGATAATCTTCAACGTAATTGATTTTGCTGATAATCTTATGTTTAAATTCATTGCACTTGATAAATTTTTTACGAATCTATTTTTGTTAACTGAAAACCCGATAGAAAGGGCTCGATGGGACGAAGAAGACATCAAAAAACTACTCAATTTTTTGAAGGATCGGTCGGTTGACTTAAAACGACTAATAAAGGAACGTGGTGGTTGCGGAAGTAATGTTAAACGAAAGCTCTGGGATGATGCCTCAAATGCTTTATCCAAAAAATTTCTTCCTAAGCAATGTGATGATAAGTGGAAAAATATTAAACGAGCTTATAAGGTATAAATTAATTTTCTTTATAAAATTGAAAGAAATGCTATTCATCATTTAATTAATTATTACAATTTAGCTTCAACCTAATATTAAGTTTAATAAAGATATTAAAGAAATTCTGAAGTAATTACGTTAAGCGGAGGTTGGAACCGGGTTGGAGTAATTCGGTTTAAACCGTTGCAACTTGCAACATAAAACCGTTTCTTGGTTCATGAAACCGGGTAATATTATTAAACAAGCTCTAATGTTTATGTATGTAATCGTAGCAACGCCGTTAACAGTTTAGCTTTTTCTTTTTTTTTTTTTTTTATGTTATAATGACATTCTTCAAATTTTATTTGACGAAACAGCTTTATAAATTTTCCCCCTTTTTTTTTTGAGGCAATTATGAATTGTATTTTCGAATTTGGTTATATTATTGTACAATTTTTTGTACAATTTCAAAATGTAGATTTTCATATTTTCCCTCGAGATATATAATTTTTTTTTATTTCACATTTTAAACATGTAATAATAGTTTAATATTTAAGATAATATTTTGTTAACCGATTATCGGTTGAAATCGGTTTTTTTTAAATTCGGTTTTAATCCGGGTCCCGGTTTGTGAATACTACCGGTTCCAATCCCTACGTTGAGCTTAGTTTCTAAATATTGGTTGAAGTATTTTTTTTGAAATTACACCAAACGAATAGTATTTGTAAAGATTGTTCGCCGACAAAAAATTACTAGTCTTAATATTTTTAAATTCGACATTACATAATACATATATACAGCAGGTAATAAAGGTGACATTATATAATGTAATATAAAAAATTTGTTTTAAAACATATGCATGTTCATTTGATATGGCAATATTTTATTATTTAACTTTTTTGATTCTTACTATTCCATTATTCAATATCGTCAAATCCAAAAAAAAGGAATTTGTCTAGTGCAAGTCTAGACCTTATCATTTTATCCACATTCTAATTTGCTTTATCGTCATTGTTAACCTTTTCATCAATTCATCCCTAATTTTCGGTCTGTATATTACTATTGCAGATGAAAAGATGTTACATAATTTGTATGTTAAATAAATTTATTATGGCGCCAGATCAATTTTCTCATTGCTAACCGGATTACAAATCATGTAATGCATGATTATAAATCACAAAAGGAAATGGCGGTACCCGAACGGGTATATGGTTTGTATGATATTTCCATACATGTATGGATTTTCTAAAATTTCGGAAATTAATAAAGTTTTTAAATTTTATTAATTCGATTAATTAAATGCTTATTTGATAAATGCAAAATTTTTAATTAATTTTCTTAAACTTAACACCTGATTTTACTCATTATAATTAAACAAAACAACTACCAACGTGACTTATCGTTTTCTTTTTGTGTTGTTAATTATTAGCATTCTGTTCAAATCAAATCCGATCATTTTTTAAGATATTGAAACTGTATCTGACAATGAAATTATAATTAATTTAATCTAATTAAATATATAAATATTCAATACCGGCATACCATACATATCATACATGATTTAATAACACCATACCCGAACATACCGTATTTTTATTCTGCGCCATTACCTTTACTGCGTTAATGACTGCGCCATTCACGTTGTGTTCTGAAACAAAAAAAATTTAGGGAGCCAAATATGTATTTTAAGGACCATCCGTCATTCTATATATATTCTCATTTGCAAGACATGGCTTATAACACGCAAAAAAGCATTTTTTTTTTTTTTTTTTTTCTTTACAAAATTGTTCATACCTATTTCTTTTGAAAAACAAAAAAAAATTTTTAAAACCAAAAAAAAAAAATATCGATTAAATGGGAATAAATTTAAATAACAAATCAACAAAACTCAAGAATTTCTTTCATTATGATGATTTTGATGCAAAAAAATCCGTAACATCTTGGTTTATATTACCAAAATCATTATTGGTTATTAGAGGAATAATTTGCTTGTATTCCTGGATTGCGTTGATTGGAAAGACTGTAAATGATGTAAAGAATAATAATGCGACATCTTTTTTATCGTACTTTACTCACTTCAGTTATATCGGTTTAGTGGCTTATTTTACGGTGAGTATTCTTGAACGAACGAGACCTTTTTTGGTTTAAACCCGGAAATTAATTTCAAACGTCATTGAAAATTTAAAAAAAGACAGCGTTTTATCGTTCTTACCAATATGTAAGGAAGAATACAACAAGTTCTCAGTATAAAATATTAGATTGGCTGTTTTGGTTACTTTATCATACACTAGCCCATTTCACGTTAGTAAAATTTAATTTATTCTTTTTCATAAAATCTTTTTCTAACAATTTATTTTTCTATTAGAATGACAATAATCTTAACATATTGGATATTTTTATCGGGAAACTTTATTAAACAAAATGCTCAACCGTATAGTTGGTGGTTAAATATATCGGTACATGGATTGAACTTTACCTTTGCGTTAATTGAAATCTTTTTAAATCGTCAAATTATGGTTGCATCGTTTGTCATTTTAAATCTCTTAATAGAAATTTTATACTTGTTTGTTGTTTACATAAACTATGCCGTGTATGTGTGCCCTTTATTTCTTTTTTTTTTTTTTTCCGTCGTCCCAATTCTAAATTACCTTGATGAAATTTTACAGAAACTCGAGATGGGTATACGACTTTTTGGATGTGACGAAAGGTTTAAAATCTTTTTTGTGGTATATTGGATTGTTTATCGTTTATATTATAATTTTCTTCATAATGTATGCTGTGCATATGTTGAGAGATTATTTAGGAAATAAATTCGGTCATAAAATTTCCACTCTTCCGATTTAATAAACGAACCCTGGTGATCATTTGATCATATTTGACGCCATAAATGGCGTAAACTATAAAAAAAATTATAAATAAGTCCGCTAAATTTTTTTGTATTTATTTATTGTCAAAAGATGTTTTCAAATTTTGGTTCAATAAATTCTTCAAACAATAATTCAAATAACGACTCCGAGAATCATGAAAGCGTTTCACATGATGCGCCTTCATCTTCAAACCAATTTCTCTTAAACAACATTCGATTTGGTATGCCTGTATGCATTTTAAGAGCTCCAGAAGTTTCGAACCTTCCCCCTGAAAAAACTGACGAGAACTTATCAGAGCAACAATCACCTTTACCATCAAAATCTGATCAACCCGTTGGAGGAAGATTTTGTGATAAATTTCCGCTTCACGTCATATCGGTTGAGGATAATAATTTATATACGAATAGGGTCTCATATAATACACAACAAAATGCGTATTATGAGAATGGTATTTTATCGAACAAATATATCAATGGATGGAATAATGGAACCTTTCGATGGGATAATATTGAATTAAAAAGAGAATATGATTGGTTACAAACTTATTTAGCAAGAAATCCTTCTGAATCTAAAATGAATGATGACGGTGAGATCTCTTGGAAATTTGATTATCGTATGGGAGGTTTCGTAATTAATTCTCTTCATATCAGATTATCATTTGGTACTTTTGATAATTCCGCTCGCGTTAACTGGTTCATCACGCCTTTACCTACGACGAAAAATCCGTGCCCAAATTGGCAACAAATTCCATTTGATCCATACACGGAACCTAGGCATTATGTAAATGAAGTCAGGGACTTTACTCGATATGTTAAAGATGAATATGGTTTTATACTAAGAGCCCATTTAAGTGGTGGTGATAAAACTTATGTTATATGGCAAAAAACTCAATTATTTAGACAAGATTTTATTACTGGCATGACTTTGGACGTTGATGATGATGATAATGCTTTTGGATTGGATGTTAGAGTGGAATTAAAGCCTGATATCATTGTTGATCCTTTACCAGAATTAGAACCTACGAGTGAGAAGAGGTCATTCGTTTTGAATGATAAGGCAACAAGTGATTTCGTTATCCATTTGGAAGTCCCAACTAGTGATGAACAAAAGTCTGCGAGTTCCGACGTTTCAAATGTGGAGGTTAAGGATTTTCACATACATTCCAAAATATTATCCGCCAGATCGGATTATTTCAATGCCTTATTGGCATCAAACATGATTGAATCACAAAATAAGTCCCTTAAATTAGCTTACATTTCTCACGAATCATTGGAAAGGCTCCTTAATTATCTTTATACGGGTACCATTCCAGACATCCAAACTTTTGATGAATGGACAGCGTTGTTACACGGTGCTTCTAGATTCCTTATACCTGCTTTAATTCAAAGGTGTGAAAAGGCTCTTAAAGGGTACGTAAATCATGATAACTTGAGAGAGGTTGAAGATATCGCTAAAAATTGTGGTGCTGAACAATTAGTACAATATTGTAAAATGTTTGAACCAAGGAATAATTAGATGTATATGTACGTTTACGTGCTTTGAGGCAAGTTTACCACATAATCTGGAATGAATCTGAATTTAGTTTCTTTTTATAAAGTACTCGGTGAATTCGATATAATGGAACTTCTTCCCGTATAGTAAAAAATACCCAGTGGTATATCGGGAATTTCAATATAACGAAAATTTTCGATATATCGGATTCACATATCAAAATTTATTGCATACCCAAAATTAATGAATCCTAATTTCATGTTCTTGTACCTCGCGTTCTTTCACTGCACTTTGGCCTTTAATCATATTTACAATTTCATAATACTTCTTTGATAAGGACTTTACTTTACTATCATTTGAAAGAATAACAAATTTAGTCTGACGGGTTCATTATATAAATGATGGGTTACTAGTACAAAAATACTGATAAAATTAAGGGGATCTTTCCGATAAATGGTTTATGATATTATATTTTTATATATTATAGACAATAATCTTGATTAAATGTTTAAATATAAAAAGGTTGTATTTTATACGTTAATAACATTTAGCATTGTCTAATATAAAATAAATAAATTTAGTATTTTAACAAAAATGTCTAAAAATAAATATAATTAAATTACTAATATACTGTATTTTTATAATATTTTATTTTTGTTAATTATAAGATGATATGCAATTATTTTTATTATTTATATAGTAATAAATATTAAAAACAATTTAAAAAAATGTAATAAGTGCTGAAAAAAAAATAATAATGTTATTTTTGATTTTTAATATTTACAATATTATATAG